TGTGATTAAGAGTTCATGGTTTGAAAAGTACCTTCACTTTCTGTTAAGAAACATACGTTTAACAAAGATGGTTAATACGACCTATCACGGAATATGAACACATCCTGCCTACCTTAGGCGTTTAGCACGAAGTGTGTGTGGATGAGATGAAAGTTCTTTTGGCTTCCGCTCTGTTGTTGAAAAAATCTATTCCAGTTTTTACATAATAGAAAACAGTTACTTCGTTTTTCTTTTCATCAAAATTCGCTCTGAAACATCCGTTTTAGCCTTTAATAAGTATATTTAATAATGTTAAACTAAATTTAAAATAACTTCAGGCAACATTGTAATAATCAGATATAAAACAGATCACAAAACGTGAGAACAAGAATAAAATATGTGATCTCATCTGCTAATTGTGATTATATATAAAGTATCAGATTAACTTGTTTACCAATTTTAGACATAATATGTCAGTCTGATTAATTCAACTTGGTAATAAATCTTAGTCAACTACTCAATGAACCGATCAAATGATTCCCTCCATTTCAACTAAAAAATGATGCGAGTTCAACGGCTTCATCATTCTTTAGAAAAGTCATGTGGGCTACTTCCTAAATGCGGCCGAAATTTAAGCCAATTAGTATAAAAGTAGGCGCAATTTGGAATGAGTAAATTTATATTATTCTACGTTTCCAAATTGCGGTCACTTTTTAATTAGTGAGTAATCAACAATCGTAATTTAAAACATAGATATACAACCCTTAACTAATGTTTGTGGAAATACATCATTAATTGTATCAATGGCGGCTTTTTCAAAATCTATTAATATCGGTATTGGAGGTAATATTGTTTTACGAACAGAATATAAAGTTGATCTCCAGGCATCGGAAACTGCCACCGTAGCAGCTGTACCATTTTCATGACGCTAACAAAGGCAGAAGTAATCACCTACTGGTCAAGCTACATCGTTAAAGAGCATAGTTAGTTGGTGTTTTCTCCAAGACTGTTCGAGAATAGAGAGAATTGATAGTCCTGAAATCGTACAAAAGAAAGTAACAAATACTCACAACTTTTTTACTTCTTCGCCGTAAATCTTGGGTGTTGGCTTATAAGCATGAATTAATACTCGCCGTTTCAATCCAGTTAATACATTTTGGACATTATCAGGTAGTTTTGGATTATGATTTGTGGCAATGGATTTTGTAATCGCATCATTTTTCAAAGACAATAGTACGATGACAGGATTTGAAAGTACAGATGTATACTGACGAGCCGTTCTGATTCACACGTTTTAAATGATATAAGGAATTATTATACAAAATTGCTGTTTCACCTCTTTGAGTTTTTGACCAAGTAAAGTTTGTATCCATTGTTTTAAATAAAGTGTGATCTTACTCTCCATGCTTCTATATTTATATTATCAATAAGACAGAACTCCTGATCAATTTTACAACGGCTAATCATGCTATTAAATATTCTTTTGCTAGAAGTAATCATTAGGATATGTTTTACTGATTATTAATCAAAATTAATCATTTTGCTTTGGGAGTTGCTTCTTATTCTGACGCTTGTGTATAGTCATCAATTCTTCTTATATATGTTTCTACCTCTGTTTTTCTTTAAAGCAACTAACTTATATATCTATGTTTTAAATTACGATTGTTGATTACTTACTAATTAAAAAGTGAATCGCAGAATAATATAAATTTACTCGTTCCAAATTGCGCCCACTTTTATACTTGGCTTAAATTTCGGCCGGATTCAGGAAGCTACGGTCATGTGGTTCAATGTTAAGAATATTTTCGTCTTTTTTCTATGATAATTAATTTTAATATCGATGAACTCTTTATTCGAATTTTTTTTATGTTCGAATACAACTTGAACATCTAAACGCATGGAGAAATGAAAATGGGAAAAAATATATACTAGAGATAAATGTGAGCGTGAAAATTTTACTATTTTCATCAAAAGTGAAATCTCTTATTCTTACACTCTAAAAAAAAGTCGTAGATTAATAAACTACAATAAAAGAGTTTTCTGGATTAAAAAACTGGTAAAAAACCCAAAAGAGTTTATTAACGGTTTTTTTAAGCCAAAAAACTAAAACGCGTTCATGGTCGTTTCAAAATGAAAAACTCACGGTTTTTAGGAGAGTTTTTTGGGTCTAAAAAACTCTTTAAAAATCCCTGTTAGCTTTTTCCTCGGTTTTTCAAAATGATCAAAAAACTCTGTTGGTTTTATGGTCATTTTGAAAAACCGAGGAAAAAACTAACAGGGATTTTTAAAGAGTTTTTTAGACCCAAAAACCTCTCCTAAAAACCGTGAGTTTTTCATTTTGAAACAACCTGTGAGATCCAACTCCCACTCTCTTATTTATTTGAAGTGAGTGCACGGCTATATATAGTATACAAGTTGAGCAAGAGTTTGGCATAAGTTGTGCAAGAACAGAAAGAGTTAGGAAAATCCCATGATGAAGCAAGAGTTACGTAAGGATGGTACAAGAGCAGAATCTTATGAGCTGCCGGAGACCGCAGGTCATAACACGACCATGAACGCTTTTTAGTTTTTTGGCTTAAAAAAACCGTTAATAAACTCTTTTGGGTTTTTTTATCAGTTTTTTAGTCCAAAAACTCTTTTATTGTAGTTTATTAATCTACGACTTTTTTTTAGAGTGTAGTTATAATCAAATGCGAAAGAGTAGTAGTATTTTTGGATATTTAACCAGAAAAACTTGGCATTATTTTTTCGGTCAGCAACATCATTCAGTTAATGATCAGATTTTCTACTCCATAATAATGTTAAAATCTTTAAGAAGAACACATCGTGACAATCGAAAAAAGAAATGAGTACATGACAAAAAATGCATTCATCATGGATAAGTGAACAAGAAATTTTTTTATTTTAAGTGACTAAATAATTGACGAAAGAACTTCTCAATTGTCTGCAACTTCTTTTTATCATCTAATCGTTAATCTATGTATTCATTCATAAATTATTTACGATGTAATTAAATTACTATGCCTTTGAAGTGCTATGAGTATTGCCTGTCAGATTTCCAGCTCTTATTACGTACTGTTTCAAATATCACGAAACGAGTCAGCCGATATATTTAAATTAAATTAATCTAATATATAATAACTTATGAAGTCTTAGTTTAATTATCTTTTAAAAACTATTTAAAAAACAATCATACAGTTTATATTTTGAACTGATGATACGTACAAGTAACACATTGTGGAACTGGTAGTTTGCATCGTATAATTTTATTATGTAATCTCTCGACGTTAGGGCAAAAGATAATTAGAATGAATTAATCACAATAAAATTACACTAGTAATTCAAACAGAAATTAGAGAAATATTGGTTTCACAATAAAATTGTTATTAAATAATGTGTTATTAGTTCGAATTACATCTCAAGATACTCTCATATTACGCGTGTAAGCTGAAAAAAACGATTTTATTTGCGCCAGACGAATTGAGCTGAAACTTTGGGAAATGAACTGTACTTGTACACTTTAGGAAAGTTTCGTTGTTTGACTTCTGTTCTGTTATTGAACCCCACTACTTCTTGTAAATTGTTTTATTAAAAGATGTTATAAAATTACTATGCTGGCGTATACATTCATAAATCAACTATACATATACTTTTTGTGACAGTATTTAATAACAATTTTATTATGAAACTAATATGTCTCTATAGAATTACCAGTGTAATTTTATTATGATTAATTCATTCTAATTAACTTTTACCCTAACCTTTAATCACG